AGGAGGGAGGGAGGAAAGGGGACCAGGAATGGTTGGGGCAGAGAAGACCCAGTGCAGCCACTGCGAGCTGAGTGTCCCTGGGCAAGTCCCTCTACCTCTCTGATCCTCAGTTTCCCCAGCTGAGCACGTGGGTGCTGCTTCCTTCCCCTGGGCTTAGGAGGGTGGCAGTTATGGAGGAAATGTGCCAGCAGAGCCTGCTGGGTGACTGTGAGCCCTGTCCCCAGGGCAGGAAGCTGGGCAACAACAGGAGGGCCTTCTCCAATGCTCAGGTGCCCTTAGGGTGCTGTCACCTGCTGTCTGTCACCTCAGCATCTTCAAGGGTCCGTGTACTGGGGCTGGGAGGGCAGAGTGTGAGGTGGTGGGTGTTGGGGCCATGCACAGCCAGGGCAAACACAGGATGGAGACATGCGGGTCAGTGTGTGAGAGCAGAGAAGCTCAGACTCACCTGGACAATGTTGTGGGGGATGGGCCTGGGCCCCAGCCTCAGGGAAGGGGGTTACATACAGGCTGTTGTGTTATCACCCTCCAGACACATACAATACACCTGCATATGCATGTCGGCATCCTAGTGTGTGTGCATGTACATGCAATACACAACATATCCATGCATAATACACACAGACACACATACATTACACACACATTCTGTACAAATCTTCACTCTCCCAATGCACAAGGACATTTTTCCAGGCTTCCAGTTACTCACAGGGCAATCTCTAGAAGCTGCAGCAGGCTGAGGACCCCACAGGGGAAATGAGTTCCCCAAACACACACACTCTTCCCATGGGGTGAGCATCAGTAAGCAAATCCCTAGGTGGAGTGGCAGCTCCAGCCCGGGCCTCTGCAGCTCCCTGAAATCTGTCTCACCTTCCTGGCTGTTTCATTGCAGTTTCGTGCAGAGCCCAAGCCTGGAGACCTGATTGAGATTTCCCGAATCAGCTCCTCACACTGGGCCCTCTATGTGGGCGATGGTGATGTGATCCACCTGGCTCCCCCAGGTAAGGGGGGTTGAAAGTGTAACTCACCAAAGATTTGTTAACATGATGAGAACAATTCAACGCCAAATGCCACCCTGGGAACCCTGCATTGGTTTCTCCCTGACCTGTGCTTGAGTTCATCCTACATCCGGTCCCTTAGAGGCAGCTTAATGGTCCCACAAGTCCTGACACAGTAGGGAAAGAGGTCCGAGGGGCCAGGTGAAGCCGGACTGGGGCCGCATTCGGGGCTCTCCCGCTCCGGCCCTTTAACTGGGTGCGCAGACAGATTTCACTAAACCAGCCACATGTCTAGGTGTCCACAGTCTCATAAAGGAGAAGGATCAATGACGGTGGATGGCCAACTAGACGATGTCCATTCATATCATGGAGCACAATAGCAGCCACTGACCATCAGAATAGTCATTAGCTTGAAAAAGTATTCACAGCTCATTAAGTAAAAAGAGTAAAATCCGTGAATCCTCTAATCACATTGGTGAAGGGACAGACACCAAGGCTCAGTAGTGTAATCCCTGGCCCTTCTAGCCTGTCTCGTGTCTTCTCTCTCCCTCCCTGGCCTCCCC